CTCGGGCGTTTCCTTTGAAAAGTGTCTCAGACGCAAATCGACGGGCCCGGCCATTGAACATTTCCAAATGAAAACGCCCGAAGGTACTTTTCCTCAGATTCCGCCCTCTAAACCGAGCTAGAGAGCGAAACGGGACACGAATTGAAAAAAAACAGAAAGTGATGATAGGAAGTAGTAGGTAGATAGTAGTGTTATGGTCCTAACCTGTTGTGAAACTTATATCGGCAGTCATCGGCCGCAACGATGTCCATCAGAAGTATATATTTGGACTTTTTGTCTAAACCCGAGACCCGGACTTTATAAGCAGGAAACATGCGCCTGTAACAATGTCGAGAAAATTCTGGATTAAAATCTGCGAGAATCGTGTACGTCACCTGTTGTGGAACTTGTAGCGATAATCGTCGGCGGCTACAATGTCCAGCAGCAGGATGTATTTGGCCTTGAGGTCCAGGCCGGACACTCGGAATTTCATTTGGGGGAACATTTGCCTGCAAAAACAGAGACCATCCAAATGTGCGTGTTCAAAGGGGCGGCGGCCGTCGATCGGGCGCCTTCGAGCATCATCTTCCTAACATTGGGAAACATGCAGAACCGAATCCGGCTGTCTGATGACTTCTAACACTTCCGTTATCACATTCATTACGCATCATCCGGATAAAAATACACTGTGGCTGACCAAGCGGCCCACTATTAATAGAACTGTTTTCATTGCGTGCTGATAGCGAAAAATTCAAAACGGTCACTCACTTCCAGCCCAGGCTAAGTTGATCAAGTGACTTACCTTTACTTACTTTTGCGGTATGGTAAGCGCGCATTTGTTCGCATCGGACGAACGCAACGAGTACCTACAAACCCTCAAACGCGCTTGTTCGTTCTATTCGCGCTCGTATACAATTCGCTCTTTCCACTAACTTTCCTAATGGAACTCGAATAAAAAAAGATAAACTTTCGAGGCCATTCCTTGAAACTAATGAGTTTTTCGGGTTTTTAGGCCGTCATTCGTAGAATTTCTTGTTGACGTTTCGCAAGCACGAGTGGCTTGCATCTTCAGAAGTGGTTTGCTTGAACGCTTACACTGTTCTCATCAGAACCCGAT